TACCAACTGCGCCACCTTGCAGCCCTGCAGTAATCCAGTCGTGTATTAATAAAAGCATGAATTACAGTCTCAAGGTGTTTGCAAGGCAGGTACCCCTTTACTTTAGATAAAATCCTTAAATGGAAAAAGCTGTTTTTCACAACCGAGCTAACCTGCCGATCAATTTTCAGCCTGTCATCAAATATTACACCAAGATTTTTCACTGATGACTGTATGTTTGGTGTAAGGGAGCCCAAAAAGCCAGCAGGAAAATCTGCTGGACCACATCCAAACATTATGATATCAGTCTTGTTTTCATTTAGATTCAGAAAATTTACAGTCATCCAGGATTTAACATCGTTCAGACAATCTAGCAATATCTGCACAGAGTTGAAAGTACATATAGTTCTGAAGGAACATTTTTAGAGCAAAACTCTGACCACCTCCTGACCTCCATGTGATACTTGAGTGTCATATCTAACAGCCCCCCTGGGAGCGGAGCTCGCTGTGATTGGTTAGTAGTTTTACTATTAAAAAGCCTCTTCACCTGAAAAGCAGTGGCTCTCTCCGTCAGGCTCTCTCCATCAGGTTTTCTCTAGGCTTCTTCTAACTGCAGGAGAGATGCTCACTTTTGGGCATTCTCTAGTGGCATGCTCTAACTGCCATAGAGCTGCTCACTTTGGTCCAATGTAGCACTTCAACTGCCACACCCTGATCCAACTCAAGCTGAAGGCCTCGTCTCCCAGACGCTGCTGCACCCAGGAAACTGCAAGTATCAAGCTTCTGTCTCTAAACGGGTGTTTTATGATTATAATTGGCCTTCTGACCAATATTCCAAAAATTAACAGATTATCTGCTGCTTCGGGTGAAAAGACTGTTAAGTCTCCAAGCCACCATTCTGTTCCACATCAGGTTTTCACATTCATATTTCTCAACCAGCATTTTCATCATTGTTTGTACTTTATATTTTATGTTTGTTGTCGTTATTTGTTTGTTTGTTTATTTAGTAATAAATGTTGTGTGTATACAGTTGTTTCCTGTGTTTTCTATAGCTTACATCCAGTCACTTTACGTATCTGATCTTTAGTTACCTAAGCTCTAAGTTAATTCCCTTAACTTTATAAAACACTCTTGACTGAGCACCAAGATTATTTTCTAACACTAAAACCCTACATCACCATACTATCGTTGGATTCTCCATTTAGAACCACTGTCCACTTGTTATGCCTGGTTGTGTATATGATCAAATGCGAAATTTGCAACATCAGAACGGTGGTCCACAAACCAATAGGTGATAATATAGTCTTTATGTCCATCGTTTATATGCAGTGTATATGTCACAGAATTTTGTCTATGTCACTATTATTATTAACAACCTCAAACAATAACAATAACAATAACGAACGATACATCAAAACAATCAAAACCAAAAATCAAATGGCATTAGAGATTTTGAAATACATACACACCTGTGCATGCACACTACACACATGTATGCACACGCACGTATATGTCTACCATTTTACATGCGCCAAGATTTTTAAAAAGGAAAAAACAACATACAATGTAGCAGAATTGGCAGATGGTATGAAAAATGAAAATAAAAGCAATTGCTCCACTAGGAGTAGTCCATTATCAGGACTACCCAAATGTCAGGGTCCTCTGATGAATGAGATGTAGTTACCCCACTTAGCATGGTATTTCTCAATCTGGTTAATTAATCTAAAAGAGAGACCTTCATGAGCTGCCACTATGCCCATCTGTGAGAACCACACCCTAACTGGTGGTAGTGTTGTCATCTTCCATTCTGAAAGTATGAGCTTCCTTCCCAGCATGAGGGATGTTTGCACCCACTCTGCCTGTGCTGATGGGAGGGCTTTTAGAGGCAGAAGCAGAGGCCGGGGCTATTGAAATGGAACCAAAGGTTTGAGACAGGAAATGTCTTATTTGAAGGTATCGCCAGAACTGCTGTTGATGGAGGCCGAACTGTTGTACTAGTGCTGTAAATGATTTCAGTATGCCTCCATCATATAGATCTCCTAGCACCAGAATACTTTTTTCCACCCATTGCTTCCACAGAAATGGCTTATTTCCTATTTTTAGTTTGGGATTCAACCAGATACTTGCAGACAGATTCAAGTTGGGATTAGATTCAAGTATGATTGAGATTCTTTTCCAGATCCATTGCATATTTGGAAGGATAGGGTGGGTCTGGGCCTCTCCAGGCAGTGCAGCTGTAGCAAGGTGGATGGGGGGCAGTGGATGACAAAGGTCCTTTTCAGTGTGAAACCAGGGAAGGGCACGTTCTGGGGGGAGGCACCAGTGAGCAAGGTGTCGGAGGCTAAAAGCATAATAGTACAATAGTAAATTTGGAATGCCCAAACCTCCCTCTTCAATAGGTTTTTGTAATTTTGATACGTTAAGTCTAGGACGCTTATTATTCCAGAGGAATCTATTAAAAAGCATATCTAGTTGCTTAAAATACTTTAGAGGGATTCTGATTGGGAGCGCCTGGAGAAGGTTATTAATCTTGGGTACACAAGTCATCTTCAGAACATTAGCTTTCTCCCATAATGATAGGAATAAAGGGATCTATCAATATCTGCTTTGAGTTGGCTTAGCAGGGGGGGTCCATGTTGACTTTAGCTAAGTCCGCTAGTCTAGGGGAGATGGTGATACCCAGGTATTTAATACCATGGCTAGGCCAGGAAAAATTTCCCTTCAGGAAGATATTCCTCGGGCAGTCAGATGTTAAAGGGAGAGCTTCTGATTTTGACCAGTGAACTTTGTAGCCTGACAGGTGAGAGAATGTATCTATTAGTTTCAGTAATGCAGGAAGAGAGCATTCTGGTTCAGAGACAAAAACAAGGATATCGTCAGCATATAAGGAAAGCTTGTGGGTAGATTGGCCAATTTTTACATCTGAAATCAAGGGGTCTAATTGGATAGCTGTTGCCAGAGGTTCCAAAGCCAGAGCAAAAAGCCCTGGGGAGATTCCATCACCCTGTCTGGTCCCCCTACCCAGTTCGAACCAGGGCGAGACCAGGCCATTAGTTAACACTGCAGCCCTGGGGTGGGTGTACAAAAGTTTTATCCATTTGATAAATGTATTAGTAAAGCCGAATGCCTCCAGGGTGGTAAATAAATAAAGCCACTCAACCCTGTCAAAGGCCTTTTCTGCATCTAAGGAGATGGCAGCAGCAGGGGAACAACTATAATGGGTGGCCCACATGATATCAATTAATCGTCTGATGTTATTGACGAAGCTACGTTTAGGGATGAACCCCACCTGGTCAGGGCGGATTATGGTGGTGATAACTTTGCTGAGTCTGTTAGATAAGAGCTTAGACAGGATCTTCTCATCGAAGCCCAACAGTGAGATGGGTCTGTAACTTTTGCAAATGTATCTAATTTTTTTAATCGTGCAGAGAATATTAGTAAAAGGAAAAAATGTAACATAGGAATAGGTAAAGAAGTATATGTATTTGCATATATTTAAAGTAAGCTTTTTGCTTCAGAGACGCCTGCTGCATAAACAGCAGACTGTCTCCAGCTGCTGTGATGAAGACAAAATGGGACAGAAGTCCATTCAGTACACTCTGGAGGTTAGAACAGCAAGTGTATCTATCTGTAAGGAATGCTTTCTGCATTTGTCACTGAGCATGCTCCTGTATCCACTGGCAAAACCTTTGTGAGTACTTGGTGGGGCTGACTGTGGAAAAAGCCCTGCCCGGGTAGTGGAGGGTTTTCCACAGGTTCTCAAGTCTTTTCTTTATTCCATAGACAGTGAAAATGTCTATAATACCCACAAAGTAGCGGCAGTGTGGCCCATCTATCACATGAACTGCATTTTGGAAGTTGGGCAGTAACCTGCGATGATGCTCGTGGAATTCCTGCAGTTCTAAGTCAGTGCTGGTGTCTCTGGCAGGGCAGGTTGTCTCCTGAAGGGTGATCCCTTCATCTGTGGCTTCAGCTGCTGCCTGCAGCTGACCTGACCCACACTCTGTAGCATCCAACGTTGCCTTGCCTGAGGTATCTTTCAGTAAACGAATTTTGGAGGGGTCTGACTCCGTAGGGTGTTCATCCAAGTCCACAGACCTATGTGAGAGTTGAAAAAGAACCGATAAAACACAGTTAGAGGGTATTTCATAAAGGTTTCTGAGAAAAGCAGGCCTTATAGTGAAAAGCTTGTTTTGAATGAGTGATGAAGTGGACAATTACTTTTATTTTATTTATTTTTTCTAATATTACTTAGTTTTTTTCCCCTTTTGGCTTTATTTGACTGGACAGTATAGAGAGGACGAAAAGGCAGTAGGGAGAAGGACCAGCAGCAAATGGCCGTGGGCCAGATTCGAACCCTTATCCGCTGCATCAGGGACTATAGCCCCTGTTTTATGGGTCGCCTGCTCAAGCTGTTGAGCTACCGGGGCACCCACGATTGGCTAGTTTCATTAGGTTATGTAAAAATGTTTGTTACAAACCTCACTGGACCAGTCGAAGATTTCAAATGCAAAATACTGTATTGCACAGCAATACACAGAGAATGCTGTTTGTGGACTTCAGTTTAGCATTCAACACCATAATCCCCTTCAGACTGGTCATTAAGCTGCATGACTCACCTCCTCCCTGTGCAGGTGGCTCTACAGCTTTTTGACCAGCATACCACAGGTGGTTCGAGTGGGGAATCACCTGTCCCCCTCACGCACCCTGAACATTGGTGCTCCCCAGGGCTGTGTGCTGAGCCCTCTGCTGTACTCATTGTACACCAATGACAGTCTGTACACATCAGACTCTATCACCTTCATTAAGTTTGCTGACGACACAGTAGTGGTGGATGTGATCTCCAACAGTGAAGAAGACTAGTTGATGGAGATCACCCACCTGGAGGACTGGTGCAGCGACAACAGCCTCCTCCTGGACGTCAGCAAGACTAAAGAGCTGATTGTGGACTACAGCAAGAAGCAGCAGAGGGCATACCACCCACTCAGGATCAGCTGGACAGAGGTAGAGTGAGCGGACAGCATCAAGTACCTGGGTGTTAACATCACACAAGACCTGACATGGTCCTGTCACATCAACACCCTGGTGAAGAAAGTTTGTCAGTGTCTACCACTTCATACGCCTGAGGGACTTGAAGCTCCCTCTGAAGGTGCTCAGGAACTTCTACACCTGCACCATTGAGAGTGTCTGGGAGTATCACCACCTGGATGGGCAGCAGCACCCAGCAGGACGTCTTGACCCTGAGGAGGGTGATCTTAGCAACACTCCCCCCAGTTAGTGAAGACGTTCGCGTCTTCACTACTAACAAATAGCAGCATTAGCAGTGAAGACGACGGTAGAGAAACGAGTTTCTTAATAAAATTTGTACATGTTTTACTGTAAAATATGTCACATTTTTGAAACATGCAGCTTGAAAGACAGTGTAGTGGGTCAAGACACAGTGTGTTTTTTCAGGGAAATAGCGTTCTGGGAACCCTGATGTTATGTACCATAGGTGCAGCTGTGGCTGCAGTTAATAACATCCTGTTATGCTGCCTTTCTGCATAATGCTGATGGTTTCTATAGCCCGCTTCCCATTCATTGCGTTTGTGAAACGCTCTGCGTTTCAACCGACGAGGCATAGCGGCGCCTGCGACTTGCCTGCGACTTGCCTGCGACTTGCCTGCAGTGCATTTGCATTAAGTAGACTTGACTTCTACTTTATGCAAATGAGGCGTGGGGAGTAGAGGTCCGACGCCTTGCAAAACTTTCGGAAAACAGCTAAACTAGCCGTTGTTGAAATAAAAAAGAACAGAATTAGCAACTGCATAGCCTATTCCTCTCCTCAAATGTTTGCAGAAATACTTTTAGCACTTTTTAGCAATAAAAGCAAAAGTTTGTGGCTGAGCCGCCATGTTGGTCCGGTTTGAAATACTGGAGCACACCGCTAGCGAGTTGACGCAATTGTCCAATCAGGTGCAGGCAGGATAGAAGGAGAAGAAGATGAGGTGTTCAGAGTTCACTATCGCCATGGACACAGACACCGCCTACTGGGCTGCTAGTGACATGCCTCCGAAGCGGGCGATTTTGAGAAGCGACGCAATTCCGCACGGGAAAAATCGCCCCAGTGGACACAGTATCAGCCTGCGAGCTCCTCCACTGTATGGTTTCACAGCTACAGACTGCCCATCCTCCTTTTTCCTCATCACCGCCGGGATTTTAATCATGCTGCCGCTCTCCCTAACTTACATCAGTTCATGGACAGTCTCACCAGGGACAACAAAACTCTGGACCTGCTGTATGCAAACACAGTAGATGCCTACAGTTCCTCCCCCCTTCCCCCATTTGGCTGCTCAGACCACAACCTGGTCCATCTGCTCCCTGCTTACACAACTATGGTGAAGAAGCAACCCCCAACCAAAAAGTGTGTGAAGCAGTGGTCTGAAGAGGCCATTGAGGCACTCAAAGACGGTTTTAATGCTGTGTTCACACCAGATGCGAGTAAAATCATTTGCGCAAATGCTTTACATGTAAACTCAGTGTGAAGATGCGATTAGACGCTAGTAAACGCCCTGCGGCACGAATAGCACGGTGCGAAGGACACGATTCTCGCTGCATTGGACACACAAGTTGAAAAATCTGAACTTCAGAGATTTGTCGCGCTGCGATAGCCAATCAACGTTGAGATTCTCTGGTGACATCAAAAACATGATTCATTCTTTTTTTTTTGCAACTAAGCCGTTAATATTGATTGATTTACTCACAGGAGACAGATGGACAGGCCCCCTGCAGCTGGGAGAGAGAGCGCCTGTATCCTGGTCCCGATCGTCTCCAACAGGTCATCAAACTACAACTACACTTCTACAATTTCATTTAGCAGACGGTTTTATCCAAAACAACATACATCTAAGAGTAGATACAACACAAACAAGGATCTAGTCAGGAGAAAACAATCTAGATATGTGCCATTGAACAAGTTCAAGTGTGTTAGGGCATTGATGCCAATAGCAGGCTGTGTGGGAGGTAATGGGATTTTTTATTATTATTTTTTTTCAAAAGGACCCAGACATGAATCGTCACGTTAAACGTGCGAATGACGCGAATTATTCACGCAAATGAAGTGAGTAAACTCAGTGCATACGCGTATCCAAATACGCATGAATAGTACAATAAATTTGCGTCTGGTGTGAATACAGCATAACACCACTGACTGGGAGGTGCTCTGTGGGCCACATGGACAGGACATTCCCAGTTAAATGGACTACATACGTTTCTGTGTAGAGACCACTGTGCCCACCAGGAGGGTACGGTGTTTCTCAAAAAACAAGCCATGGTGACTCCTGAGCTGACAGCCTTGCTGCTGGAGAAAAGGAGGGCTTTTAAGTCTGATGACAGAGAAGAACTGAGGGTACAGAGGGATCTCAAAAGAAAAATCAGACAGTGTAAGGCGAACTACATGAAGAAAATGGAGAACCAGCCACAGAAAAACAATGCGAGAGAGGTCTGGAGAGGACTCCAGACCACATCAGGGCAGGGTAAAGGCAAACAGAGGGACTGTGAACCTGGGGACAGGCACTGGGCCAACAAATTAAACCTGTTTTTTAACAGATTTGACACTGGTTTCACCCCCTTCCCCTCTAGCCTGAGCACTGTCCTGCCTACCTCCAGCTTCTCTTCGATGCTAGCCCCCTCTATCTCACCTTCCTCACCACCACCACCACCTCTGGGGCCCTCCTCTCTTCCCCCATCTTCTCCTCCTCTCTTCACACCAACGGTGGATCAGGTGAGAATGCAGCTTAGGAAGACCAGAGCCAGGAAATCCACAGGTCCTGATGGCATCAGCTCCAGACTCCTTAGAGACTGTGCACTAACTCTGTCAGGTGGTCTGCTACATCTTTGACCTAAGCCTGAGACTGGAAAGAGTTCCTGCCATGTGGAAGACTTCTTGTGTGGTAGTGGTCCCAAAGACCTCAAGCCCCAAGGAGCCCAACCATTTTAGACCCGTGGCCTACCGAGCTCCAGAAACCCAGAAAAATTCATTGTTCTGAGCCTGGGTACAAACTTTGCCACTGATTCTACAGCCCCATCAAGAAATTATTGTTTATTGTTTTTATTTATTTAATTTTATTGTTTAGTTTTTTTGTTTAGATTCAGCATTTAAAAAGCTATTTTCAACTGGCCATTCAATAAATAGGTTGTAAGAGTAAAATCTGCAGTCAAGTGTCATTTGTTTACGCTGCCACGGCTCTCCGCAGAGCCTGCCCCTACTGCTGAAAAAAATCCTAGAGCAAACACTGCATGGACTACCTTACTGACAGACCCCAGTATGTGAGGCTACAGGACTGTGTGTCTGATGTGATAGTATGTAGCACAGGCGCTCCCCAGGGTACTGTACTCTCACCTTTACTCTTCACCCTTTACACATCAGATTTCCGGTACACCACAGACAGTTCCCATCTCCAGAAGTTCTCCGATGACACTGCCACCAGAGGATGCTTGTCACAGGGGAACGACTGTGAGTACAGGAAAGTCATCATGGACTTTGTCGACTGGTGTGAGCAGAACCACCTTCAAATAAATGCCAGCAAAACAATGGAGATGGTGATCGATTTCCACAGGAAACCCTCACACACTCCACTGCTGAACATCCAGGGACTTGACATAGAGAGAGTAAGGACCTACAAGTACCTGGGTGTTCACCTAAATAACAAACTGGACTGGACAGATAACACTGACTCTCTGTATAAGAAGGGTCAGTGTCGTTTATACCTGCTGAGGAGGCTTGCATCATTTGGTGTGTGCAGGCCACTGCTGAGGACGTTCTACGATACTGTGGTGGCATCAGTGGTTACTTATGCAGTGTTGTGCTGGGGAGGGGGGTCTCTGAGTGGGATAAGAGCAGACTCAACAGACTGATAAAAAGAGCCACCTCAGTCTGTGGCATCTGTGTTTTTGCAATTCAACGGAGTCCTGTCAAAAGGCCGTTTCACCTACAGCTACAAGATTCGGTGGGCATGTGTAGCAGGTCAGGACGCACAAAAAAGTCAACCAAGCCGTAAACCCAACAGGAAGTCCGTTATTTTGAAAAAACTAGGTGACACTTTTGCCGATTGTGCCTGACTTTTGGACATTTTTGGCCATTTTCAAAATCTATCTCCTCCTACAGGGAAGGTCGTACACACCTAAAAGTTGGCCAGCACAAACTACAGGAGGTGGTGATTAAAAGTTAGCAAAACGGTCTTCAAAAGTCTGACAGCGTGGAAATTGCACCCCCCTGAATTTGGCCACAACGCCATAAAACGGCAGGGTTGCTGTGCTCCTATCAGTCCCAAACTTTATACGTGCTATGAATCTCAGACAGTGCATGTTTCCACCACGGCCAACACGCACGCCGCCGCACCTCGCCACTAAACAGGAAGTGGCTCGTAACTAGGCCGCACATGCTCTGAACTGCATGAAACTCCACAGGCCGGATCACAGTCCCGCCCGGAGCACCTTTGCGCCACACCCTGACGTGCGTGACGGCCGACAAGCGTAGGGCGAGGACCCGTCCAATGCCGCTTGCGGCTTTAATTATTGTTATTGTTGTTTTGGTGTGGAACAGGTGCTAAATACTTTTCACTGCATGTTATGCTGTGTATAATTGTGTTTGTGACCAATAAAGGCTTGAACCTTGAACCTTGAACAACTGTTTTGGTCTTGTTCTGCGTATTTAACATTCAAATTTTTTATTTATTTTTTTTTAAAAACCTACTTTGTGGTGCGAATAACAAGGTTTGCTAATGAGTGTTTCCCTTCAAGTTCATCTTGATGCAGAGGTTGACGAGCCAGCAGGAGACTGTAGTCCAGCACATTAAGCTCTCGAAGAAAGGCAGCATCCACTTTCACTTGATTGGCAAACCAGGATTTCTCTTGACCTAAAGCAGGCAAAACAACATGTCCAATTAGTGTGCCTTTACCACTGCTGGCTGCATTTTATTTGATGGAATCAGTCATATGTAAACAGACATCAGTAACTAGATGCAGGGGAAGGAACACTTACCTAATTCAATGCACTGCCCTTCAAAGTTATTATCCTTCAGTACTTTTATTGTTTGTTTCCCTCCTTTGTCAGGGTTAGTCCACCTGCCCACCTCACAGCCTTTGATGTCGTATCTATGCAACCAAAATGTCGTAAGATGTATCAGAAATCCACTTAACAAGACATGGGGAAACATACTGTGAATACCTTACCTAATGTTGATCCTTTCATCAGGGTAAAACACACTTTGCATCACAATGAAGTACTTCTAGAGATCAGACAGATAACACTGTGCTGTAAGTACTGTAAGAGTATTGAGGGCAGAATGTGCTTGCAGAAAATGTTTGCTCAAAGGGGAGTTTGGTTTGTTGGGTGCTCTGTTTAAAATGTGTAAGGTACTCACTGTGGGAGGGTTCTGAGATAACATATGCTGTGAACTAAAAATTCAAATTTTAGCTCAAGACGGCAGCGCGACAACACGTTGCCACGACTGCTCCAGGTGAGCTGAGTTAGTCTTTGTTCACTTTTTTTTAGATATATATGTTTGAGTACTTAGACACTTTTTAGTACCTACTTTTAAAACTTTCTTTTTACTCAGAAAATGAACACTATAACATCCGTAGTTCATGTATACCACTGACAAATACTCCTAACATACAGATTCTACCAATGAACCAACCTGGAAGAGGGACTACTGGACACGCTACGGAACCTTGGACTGCTGCAGCGATCAGACCTCCAGCCAGCGACGTCAACGGACGCGTGTTGCTGGGGGAAAGAACGACGAAGGCGGCGCACAGGGAAGCAAATGCGGGGCAAGAGAACCGGGGTCCGTGCTCAGCTAAAAGCTAACCCATTCCTGTTGTCAAATGTCCGCTCATTGGACAATAAATTTCACTAGACCAGACTGCAGCAAGCAACACGAAGGAAATTTAGAGATTGTTGTGTTTTTGTTTTTACGGGGACATGGCTCAGAGTTCCGGATGCTGCCATCCAACTAACTGGACAAGCCGCTTTCCGTGCAGACAGGAATCCAACTCAGTCTGGTAAGACCCGCGGAGGTGGGCTGTGCGTTCATATCAACACAGAATGGTGTAGGACAGGGGTGTCCAATCCTGGTTCTCGAGGGCCACAATCCTGCATGTTTTGGATGTTTCCCTCTTCCAACTCACCTGATTCAAATGATCAGCTCATCATCAAGCTCTGGAGAAGCCTGATAACGATCCTGATCATTTGAATCAGGTGTGTTGGAAGAGGGAAACATCCAAAACATGCAGGATTGTGGCCCTCGAGGACCAGGATTGGACACCCCTGGTGTAGGAACTCTGTGCTAGTTTCCAGTTTCTGCTCTCCACTCCTGGAGTCTGTGACTATTAGATGTAGACCTTTCTATTTAGCATGTGAATTCACTGTCGTGTTTATAGTTGGAGTTTATATCCCACCAAGCACAGATGGAAAAGAAGCCCATTGTGAGCTGTATGAAACAATTAGTGAGCTGCAGAGCCTTCACCCAGATGGAGTGTTTATTGTCGCTGGAGATTTCAACCACGCAGATCTCAAAACAGTTCTCCCTAAATTCCATCAATATGTGGACTTTGCAACCGGGGGGGAGAATGTGCTGGACCATGTTTACACAAGCACCCTGGTGCGTACAAGTTGGAGCCCCGCCCCCACCTCGGGTACTCAGACCACATCTCTGTCATGCTAATGCCAATATACAGGCCAATCGTCAGATGCTCCAAACCGGTTCAGAAGAAGGTGAAAATCTGGCCATCGGGAGCCATCTCTGCTCTTGAAGACTGTCTTGAGCACACTGACTGGCAAATATTTAGAGAGGCTGCAACCAGCAGCGACTCAGGAGTACATCACATCAGTGACTTGCTACATCAGGAAGTGCACTGATGATGTCAGTGTCTCCAAGACCATCACCACTCGCTCTAACCAGAAGCTGTGGATGACTGCAGAGGTGCATTCGCTACTGATAAACAGAGTCTCTGCTTTCAGGGCGGGTGACACTGAGGCTCTAAAAACAGCAAGAGCCAAACTGTCCCGAGCCATCAGAGAAGCCAAGTATGCACATGGCCAGAAAATCCACGGCCACTTCAGGGACAGCGGCGACAATTGGCGCATGTGGCAGCACATCCAGGCCGTCACCAACTACAGGACAACATCTCCCGCCTGTGACGACGACGCCTCCTTGCTGGATGTGTTGAACGACTTCTATGCTCGCTTTTGAAGCCCAGAATGAGGAGACGGTGAGGGAGACCACCCCTCCCCCCGATGACCAGGTGCTGTGTCTCACCATGGCTGACGTGAGGAAGACACTTCGCAGAGTCAACCCACGGAAAGCTGCTGGACCAGAAAACATTCCTGGTAAAGTGCTCAGGGAGTGTGCAGACCATCTGGTGGATGTTCTCACAGACATCTTCAACACCTTCCTAAGCACCTCCAACATGCCTCACCCACCTGGACAACAAAGCTCAGCATTCAACACAATCATCCCCCAGCACCTGATTAGAAAGCTGAGCCTGCTGGGCCTGAACACCTTCCTCTGCAATTGGATCCTAGACTTCTTGACTGATAGATCCCAGTCAGTCTGAATCGGGACCAGCACTTCCAACATCACCACACTGAGCACGGGGGCCCCCCAGGGCTGTGTGCTCAGTCCAACGCTGTCCACTCTGCTGACTCATAACTGTGCAGCGATGCACAGTTCAAATCACATCATAAAGTTCACTAATGACAGTGAGAACAGCAGAAAAAATCATTGGAGTGTCTCTCCCCTCCACAAAGGACATCTACACCACACGCTGCACCTGAAAACCCACCAGCATTGTAAAGGACCCGACACACCCTTCAAACAAACTCTTTACATTCCTGCCGTCTGGCAAGAGGTTCAGAAGCATGCGAGCCCACACGGCCCGACTGTGCAACAGCTTCATCCCTCAAGCCATAAGACTGCTAAACATTCAAGGACTGGACTAACACACACACACA